TCGTATCGTGTTGACCGGCATCCAATTTTCTTCGAGTATGATTTCCAGATTCTTCTGATCGAATTGGATCTTTTTTTCTTTGGTTGTACGGTCGTCCAATCATCGTCAACGTTGGGCATTTCCAGTAGATAAGTTTGTTGAGCAAGATTTTGCTCTTCATATTCTTCCTCATCGGTCATTTCTTCTTCAGAATCATGGGACGATTCTGACTCGCTTTCTGTATTGTCTTCTGGAAATCCGTTATTTTGGCCGTGAATAAATTTAAGGGAGATTTTGCCCTGTTGTCCTTTCCATTCGAATGTAAGAAGTCTTTGCTTTATATCGACGTTTGCTTGTATTTTATTTAGGAAATCCATGCCCACGACTACTGCATACGTCTTGGCTTCGGTGATGTCGACTTTGGTTGGAATTACGATTCCGTCAATGGTGATTGGAAGATCGTCAATTGCACAAAGAGGTTGTTTGAAGTTCCTGTTAATGTCATTCATGGTGACGGTTGATTTCCGCTGGATTTTAATTTCCTGACTTTGTAAAAAGTGATTGCTCGCCACGCAGCTAGACGCGCCTGTATCAATAATGAGATCGATGGTAGTCTTTCCAACTCGGGCTTCGCACCATGCGGAAGTGATTCGTAACTTTTGGGTGACCATTCCCTGCTTTTTCCGAGTAGTTCGTTTAATGGATGGCTGTCTCATCCCTTTGGACATTTTGATTCTCTGAGCGGGTGACGTTTCAATGAGTTGGGTGATGGTGATATTGGCCTTGAGATTCGTTAGATCTTCTACGATATCATATGGAGCAGCTTGGGAGGCGAGCACAGGTAAAATTGCTTTTCCTTTCTTCTTACGAGCCTTCTTCTTTTCTTCTATTAATCCTTCTTTATCATTTATTTTTGATGGGCCGGCTTCTTCCATATCATCGTCTTCGATAATTACTTCTTCCTCGACTTCTTCGTTTTCATTGATGGTACTTCGAGTATGATGCTTTTTGTTTAATGGATTATACCGGTGGTCCTGGTGAGATTTCTTTTCTCCAGCCAGAGATCCGTGTGTACCTAACAAAGAGTTACTACTGTTCTGTTGTTGGAGTGCGTTGGTTAATTCTTGAATTTGTGCAAGTAGAGCGGCGTTGGTATCATTATTCTGGACGAGTTCATTATTTGTCGATTGATTTTCCATATTCGGTCGACTATTGTTTTTCACAGTTGGTTGATTATTGCCATATCAGGTGAGTACATTATTGTTCCTGTTGTTATTGTTGTTCATTCGTGGATTGGGACAGCGTGTACTAATGTGTCCTTCCTGACCACAACTGTAACAAATTATGGTTCTTCTATTATTTTGCCAGTTTTGATTATAGGTCAGATTTTTGGACGAAAATTGCGGTCGGCTTCCTATTTCGAATTGGTCCAACCTACGGGTTAGTCCTTGGATTACGTTCATCATGGCATCCATTGTTGTGTTGGGGATTCTGTCAGCCTGGTGATAAGTCTGATTATCCGTTTCTGTCTCAGCTTCTTCTGCTTTTCTTGCTACTTCTATCATGTTCAACAGAGTCCCGTCTGAATTAATTTTCACCCATTTCTTTAGGTCAGATTTTAATCCTCATCAGAAAATTCGCACATGGTTATCAGCGTGGATATGGTTGTCTGGGTCAGCTTTTCTTAGCAACTCGTAGAACTGATCGATGTAGGCGTCGACTGTTCCTTCCTGTTTGAGTTCTTCCAACTCGTCCCTCCACTGGTCAACTTTACGCAGCGTTCGAAATTTTTCAGTAAACCGGAATTTAAAGTCATGTTCGTCGTTGGCGTTGGTTGTCCACCTATTTAAAATCATTGTTGCATCTCGAGCGCGTTCGTCGAACCATATAGTGGCAGTTCCCTCCAAATATCCTCGTACGATCTGTATCTTTCGTGCATCGGTGATTCCGTTTGCCGCAGCTACCACTTCGAAATCTCGGAGCCATGTAACTGGATCTTGGTCTCCTCCTCGAAACTTCCAGATGGGAATAATCATTTTTTCAGTTGCTCTGGCGGTCTGTGCTGCAAGAGCTTCTGTAAGTTGGTTCACCGCGTCTAAGACATCACCAATGTCAGCCATTTCTTTTGTTTCTGGAGAGGGGATTCTGGTTGGTGGTGAGGTTGGAGTTTCTAGTTTTTCGGGTGGTCCCTTTTGTTCTAATTCGGCAACCTCCTCGTGAATTATTGATTCTTCTGAGCCATTTCTCGGATAGTCTTTTTGTGTCTGCATTGCGGTGTCAACGGTCTCGGAATAATGATCGTCAGAAAATTCCTCATCTTCTTGATCAATGTGAATGTTTTGTTCGAACGCCCGAGTCTGTACAAATCATTTGTAGGCGGTATTTATTAGACGAACTTGGTCGTCTACTATCAAATATTCGTCAAAGAGGACTGTATTCAGCAATCTTACTATTCGTTGTCTGATAATTGATGGGTGTACCTCCCCGTAATCGTATGAAATTAACTCGCCAAACGTTTGCTGCGTGATGCGATTATATGCACAAGCTCCTGCCGATTCAATCCAAAGCCAAAATCATCGAAACGGAAGGGTAAATTCTCTTGGTGGTGGAAAACAAAAAGGACAATATGGCTGTACTTGAGGGGAATTATTACTTTCAGCATCGTGTTGTCCAAGATGATCGTTGATAAGTTCGCCAGTGAAAGTATATACCTCGTTCATCCACCGTATTAGACTTAAAGACGTATGTTTATGAAGACGTGTTGATTTTTGTGATTCTACTTTTTCACGAAGAGATGTAATAATAAAAAAAAATTATAGAAAATAATTAATAAAGGGGATTTATTGGAATGAGTTCACAGAGGGATTAAATTGTATGAGGGTAAATTTTTCACAGAGGTGTTAGATGAAAGTAATAGATTTCTAAGGGAGAATTTTCCACAGAGGTGTTAGATAAAAGTAATAGATTTCTAAGGGAGAATTTTCCACAGAGAGAGCACCAAAATGTTGCGGCTACTCTTTAATTATTATAATTAAAGAAATAGTACACACAAGTTTTTGAGCAAAAACTGAATGATTTACTTAAAGAGGGGTTCTCTAAAGGTTTTAAAGGTCTCCTGTGGTGACTTTTACGAAAATCAACAC